TATTATCATTTTTTTTTTTTATTATTATTATTATTATTATTTTTCTTTAGTTATATATTTATTTTATTTAAAAAAAAAAGTAATAATATAATATATATATGTACAAAAGAAAGAAAATTACAAATCAAATTCTACATCTAAATCTACTACAACTCTATCTATACGACTCTCCAACTCAGCAACCTGAACCCGCAACTGATTTCTTTCTTGAACAACCCTCCAATGCTCTTCATCTCTCCTCCAATTCTCTTCTACCAACTCTGCATCTCAAAAACGAATCTCTTCCAACTCCGCTTCCAACACCACGATTTTTCTCCTTAAGGATTTTACTTCACGCCACAACCTAATATATATTACAAAGTTAATATTCTACTAAAAACTATTATAATAATCAGTAAATATTTATCTTCTGTTTTGATCCTGAACTCCGATTAGAGCCTCATAAAGAGACTTATTACCGTTACATCAAGAATGTCGGACAGCACGTGAGATACAAGTGCGAGGCATTTTTAATACTTATTATTATTGTTATTATTATTATTGTTGTTGTTGTTGATGTGATTGTAGTTGATATTGTTGATATTATTGATATTTACAAAAAGAGAAAAAGAAAAATTCCTAGAACCAGAAACCACGCTATATAGAATATGTCTTATTCTAAATTAATCGTGATCAACACAACGTGCAAAAACTTGACAATTCTATTGGACAATCGAAATGAACTATTAACTCACAAAGTTCATTTTTAAAGGTGATAGAAATGTTATAGAATGAGATTCATATTTTATCTCTATTAGATTCAGAAGCTTGTTGTAATTCTAATAAGCTATAATATATTAGAAACAGATTATTGGTTAATAGAATATTACCAAAACAATTTTAACGTAACATATTTTTTATACCTTTTATACCTTTTGTACCTTTCATACATTTTGTATCTTTTATACCTTTTATACCTTTTATACCTTTTATACCTTTTGTACCTTTTATGCCTTTTATACGTTTAGTACTTTTTATACCTTTTATACATGTTGTAAAAGCTATATAAACCCTAGCTTTTACCCTTCTTGTACTAGAGGATTCGTTCCCTGCAATGTTCTAAAATATTAGGATTCTATAGGAATAGATATCTATAGATAGCTTTGTATTTAGGCATTGTATCATAAATAAATAAATATATCTTTGCTCTAAAGTAAACTATGTTTCTATGCTTCTAATGAATATACTGAACTGCCCTAGTGAGGAAACATTCCACTTCCACACCACTTCATATCTTGCCCTGTTGTTTTAGAGATCTCTGTCGCTGTGTGCCATGTTGCAGGTGGTAAATTAAGAAGGCTACCCCACTTGTAACAGTATGATTTTAATACTATTTGATTAATCTTAATTAAATAGTACCAAAATTGTTTAATAGTTTATAAAATACCATACAAGTATTTTAAAAACTTTATAGTTTTGAGTTGATCAAAACTAAAACTGGTATTACCAATTTTGGGCATTACTTTTCTAGCCAAAATTTGTCTAAACTTAATTAAAAATCCAAACCTTAAAAACTATGCCAAAATTCTAAAACTTAATTAATCAGTAAAAATTGGGAATTTAGTGATTTGAGTATACTGTATTCATTACTGGCAATCACTTCTCTGCACAATCTCTTTCCCAACAAACATCAATTTCTTTGACAACCTCCTCCCAACCAAATCTGATCAACTCATTGACAATTACTTCGAAGACATCATATTTCATCAAGACCATTTTACTAACAAGCGTATTTTATAGATGATTAATTTACTGACAAGCTCATTTCATAGACAGTATATTTCAACGATAGCTCATTTCATAGATAAAGTAATTCTAGTCATTTTTATTGGGGTTAGGTTTAGAATTAAATGTCTATAAAAAAACTTGTCTGTGAAATAAGCTGTCGATAAAATATACTATCTACATAATGAACTTGTCAGCAAAAAAATAAGTTTGTTAGTGAAATGAGTGTCGGTGAAATGTGGGTCTTTGAAGTGAAATAATACGGATCCTTCCCCAACACAACAAACTGTTTTCTACAAAACCACATACCCGACACCCAAAAAATTACTTACAACAATTATCTCCTTGATGACAACCCTTCCACTTCCTCAACACAACCCTTCCATCTTCTCTGACAGATCCGTATTATTTCACCGACAATCACTTGATAGACATCATATTTCACCAACAATTATTTACTAACAAGTTCATTTTACTGACAAGTCTATTTCACCGAGGCTCATTTTACCAACAAGTTTTTTTTTTATAAATTACATTAACTTTAACTCTAATTCTAACCTGACTCTAATGATATTGACCAGATTTACTTTGTCTGTAAAATTAACTTCAGTAAAATAAACTGTCGGTGAAATGAACTTGTTGGTAAGTGATTGTCAGTGAAATGTACATTTCGGCGGATTGGCGGAATTGGCCTTTTTAATCAAACCCTAAATTAATCATTTTAAGGGTAATAATAATTAATAAATTATACCGATATCAGTTAGTATATCAGAGAATGACATATTTTATTAATGATTAATAAAATGAATAGGGTTCAAATTTAGATGATCTAAAAAAGGCCCAATTCTGCCAATCCGCCGAAATGAGTGTCTACGAAGTTGTTGTCGGTAAGTTGATCGGATCCCTTCCCGGACACCACTACACACTCCCTCAACACACTTTTACAACTATAGCTATTTCAAACACACTACCCAACACAATGATTTCCACTTATTTCATTTTATTACTTTTTAAAAAGAAATTTAAATTAACTTAAAAAAAATAATTAAAAAAAAAACTAAAAATGAAATTTTTTAAAAAAGGGTTAAATTAATTTATTTAAAAAAAAAAGTAAATAATTTTATTTAAAAAAAAATAATAAAAAATTCCTCCGGCTAATCAAACTTTAAGATCACATGTAATATAAAGTTTGTAACTTAAAAGATATTATATATATACATATGACGTAAAATTTTAAGTAAAAAACTTTATATTTACATATAAAATTTTGATTAGCTGGCAATTTCTTTTTTTAAAAATTTTTTAATTCATTTTTTTTTTATTTTAATAATTTTTTGATTTTATTTAACAATGTTTTTTTTATTAATTTAAAATGTGCCAGAAAATAATTATGAATAAGAGGAAATAATATTGTGGAAATCGTTGTGATAGGTGGCTGGCGTGTTGAGAACAGTTATAGGTGAAGGTTGTTGGAAGTGTTGTGTGTTGCCGGGAAAGTGTGGAATTGGGGAAGGTGTGGTTGTCGGGGAAAGGGGATGTGGTAATTTGCCAAGTAAATGTTTGTTGGGTGGGTAGTGTTGGAAAGGGGTGGTTATCGAGAAAAGGGTGGTTGCTGGAGAAGGAATGGTTTATCAGGGAAAGGGTGGTTGTCGGAGATGTGGTACACCAAGCCTATTTATGTATATAATGTATAACGTCAAAATGATCTTACTAATCATAATATACCTTATAACGCTCATAATTTTTCCATCTACTTTAGCTAATTGATTTGCCTCTTCAATTTTTTGACGTGTAATTTTTATTAGAGTATCTCTGATTCTTTCACCGTTATTCAAGCACCATCTCTTCCCACTACATGTATCAATATACTCATCGAAAGAAAAATCTTTAAAATTAATAATTTCTCCCCAGTCATCCGAATCATCGTCAACTTTTTCAGTTTCGTCTTTTTCCTCACTTTCACTTCCAGAGCCATAACCGCATGCACGTCTCTTAAAGTTTATAAAAAAGTTCTGTGTGAAAAATATTTTAATCAGATATACTATCAAAATCACTAATGAATAATAGATTACAAATATCAGACTTCATTTGGAGGCAGTTCCTCATCTTTATTTGGTGCACTTTCTTTTCGTTTTTAGCAATGTTCTTATGAAAATTCACTACTGTAACGGTATGCTCTTGCAAATTTTTTGACTACCAGAAAATAAGGATTAGTAGGTTTCAAAAAATTATAAATAATTAATCAAAGGGTACTTTTATTTCCGCAAGCTGTACAGTTTCATGACTTTTTATCTGTGCCAGTTGAATAGCTTCTTTATCTTTCATTTCCCTCAAATCTTGCAAATATTTAAAATAATCGCTCTTATTTTTAGTCGATTTCCAAGAATACAAAATTTTTGAGTAAATTAAAATATTCTTTATAATACGAGAGATTATTCTATATATAAAAGGCTGTAGCGAACTAACAGTTCAACACCCAGACGACTAACAGTCCCGTAATGTGCTACAGTACAAAAGGTTATACTTGAACTACAGCGAACTAACAGTTCAACACCCAGACGACTAACAGTCCCGTAATGTGCTAATAGCTCAACACAAATGAAAATTAATACTTTCCTCTAGGTTTGCATGCATAGATTTAGTCATTAGTCTGGAAGTCTCAGAGATAGGTGCATTATCCACGTCCTGAATAGCCTTTTTCATGCTGTCCAAAAGCTTTTTCTTATCGCATGAAATATTAATGGCACACCACTCGGCCAAACCATTAAGAGACCAATCTTCGTGAGATGTTTCATAAAAGTATCCTGCCATAGTTTACTAATACGTTAAAAAGAAAGAAAAAAATACGCGTTTTGTTACACAAAAATCTGTGTGACCGGGGAAAGTCTCCGGACACACTTACCGATTACCGGTATGACATACCAATATGAAGATCCTATTAATAAATTCGAAGTTTTTTAAGCTTCTAGCAATGATTTCTCAATAACTACATTATTAAATTCAGAAAAAAATATTTTCTTATAACTCTATAATATAGTAAAATTAAATAAAAAAAGATTATTTAATTTGGTTTAGTAGTTGTTGAGAAATCATCATGAAAAGATAAATGACTATTTCTTGACAACCAACTACCAAATTTGAAGAATTTTTTTTATTTTAACTCTTTGGGTTCATAGAATTAAAATAAAAAAATTCTAATCAAATCTAAATAACTGTTTGTTAAGAAATATTCATTAAACTAAAGAAAAATTTAGCCACAGCTTTTTTTAAAGATATCAAAACTTTGAATGAAGATTACTTGGCAATTACCTGGTCAAATTTGATCAATTTTTTTTTCATTATAATTTTATGAGTTCATATAATTGAAATAAGAAAAAATTGATCAAATTTGACCAGGTAAGTGCCAAGTAATCTTTATTTAAAATTTTGATATCTTTAAAAAAAGCTGTGGCTAATTTTTCTTTAACTTAATGAATATTTTTCAACAAATAGCTATTCAGATTCGGTCAGAATTTTTTTATTTTAATTCTATAAATCCAAAGAATTAAAATAAATAAAAAAATCCTTCAAATTTGGTAGTTGGCTGTCAAGAAATCATCATTTAAACTTCAAAGACAGAATTTTTTTTTATCTTTCCGTGATGATTTCTTAACAACTACTGAACCAAATTAAATAATCTTTTTTTTTTTATTTAATTCTACTATATTATAGAATTATAATACAATATTTTTTTCGGAATTTAATTATATAGTTATTGAGAAATCATTGGTTAGATCAGAATTTAAAGATATAATAAGTCCAAAGTTAGATTAGGCCATACAAAATTAATTTCTTGGTTTTCATAACCCGGCCAGGTCTAAAAGCTAGAATTTTAAAAATTTTTAAACCAGCCAATAGAAACACAGCTTGCTTTTGATAAATAAATTGTTCACAATTAGCAATGCCAATTTAAATGCTAAAATAATTTACTTTACACAACTATCGTACATAAAAATATTTATTTTGTTTTTTAGCTTTTATAATAATCAAATTAATTAAAAGAGCATAACATTTTAGCTTACCATATTACCGCAAAATAACAACCATGGGTGTTATTTCGAGGTTCAGCCTTAATTTAGGCCGAAATTCATAATTTCACCCCTGTGCGTTATTTCGTGGTAATATGGTAATTCAACAACTTCATATCATGCTTACGTTATAGCTTTAAAACATTGCAGTTTTATATTAAATAAATCAAACAAGATAAATAAATGTTTTCTAATTGGGCCAAGAAGAAATCACATATAATCGGTCATGTAGTTTTATCTGGTGATGTGAATGCTACTAAGACATAGGTTCTTGTACTGCCTATGGCAGCAGCGGAGCCTAATCACCAAAGCATACCGGTAAGTCTTTGCACTGCTTACGATTACATTCTCAAATAATCATAGTAATTTATATATGCAATTTGGAAAACTCTTGCATCTAACAAGATGCCATAAGGATCGTACACAAAAACCTATAAGCTAAATGACAAATTGAACATGCGATTTCGATAATGGTCGGTCAAAATAATATTTAATTCACACTGATAAATTTAATATTGAACATGTAGTTCACGGCCAGCCAGGGATGGTAAATGACCAGGTCATTTGCTCAAAATTTAAATAACCAAGTCATTTAAGTAAATGACCTGGCCATTTGGGTCATTAGGTCATTTACATGTGAAGTAATTTAATTGGTCAGATAGCTAATATAAAAAGTTATTAAACACTGTGATTTCACTAATCAACGATCGTAGCTACACACAAAGTCAAAATTT